AACTGCCTGGAGTTCTAAAATCTTCGGGAGTCACTCTGCCTAACTTCCAGCATCAGCGATCTGCTCGGGAATGATACTTCGGCCTCGGCAGCACTAGTAACCTTCTTAAAAGAAGCCAAAATCTACCACTTGGTATAGCAGGAATTTCTTTCGGCCGTCGGGACGTCTCAGCTGGATGGTTTTCCAGTATCTGACTCATGCCAGCTGACCTCTGTTTTGTTTGGATTATTCTTTTGTAGCTTGTTTTAAATCATTTTGTTTTCTGTTGTTGAAGAGCCAGCAACCAAAGTTATTTACAAAATGTTAATATACCATGTATTTATAGGTTACTGACTCTGAGTCCTCTCCTTTCTCTGGAGATGAACTAGCCATAGGCTAAAAATCTCCTTAATAAAGATCTAAAAAAAAGCTTGTCTAGGAGTGTGTTCAATCCTAGGTGCAATCACTTCAAAAATTGTCTTGTCAAGTCAATTTATTTTAGGTTCCTGGCCATTGCGGGATTGACGGAAATGAAAGTGCTGATGCACTAGCAAGACTCGGACCTTCTCATAAGTTCATAGGGCCAGAGCCCCTTTGGGGCTTATCGGCTGCATCTTTCAGAATGGAGCTAAAAGTGTGGGAATCTTCAAAAGTGAAGGAAAACTAAAAGAATACTTCCATTGCTAGGCTGTCCAAGCGATTCATTTATGTGACCCACAAAATCCTGGAACTTTCCAAAAAAGATCTTAGCATATAGACAGGTCTTATAACAGGTCGTTATCACTTGAAGCTGATTGGAAAACTTCAAGACGATATATGTAGCTTCTGTGGTATAGTAAAGGAAGACTCGGAACATTTGCTAAGCCACTGTCTGGCAATTTTCAATAAAAGGCGTAAGTTCTTCGACAAGGGGCTGATAGAACCCTTTGACATTTGGAGAACAACTCCCAGTACGGCAGTGCACTTTATTCGAAGTGTAATTCCTTGCTGAGATAATGCTATTAGTCAAACAATGGCATCTTAATATAGCTAAAAAAAAATGGAGAATTTATCACAATAGATCAGTAAAATGGTCGCAGTGATGAAAATGCCCGACAAAGATTAACGATTGCCCAATATTTTTCAATTGGGTACAGTTCCGGCGAGTTGTGAGGGTTTTTGTCCTTGGATACGGCTTGCACGTTGTTGGTGGTATACCGTTCCTGAGCCATTTTTCCATAGTGACAGGAAACGAGGTCTGGCCAAAACAGCACGGAACAACTGTGTTTCTACAAAAAGGCAAACATTTCTTTTTATAAATATCTTGGTTCACAATGCCAGTTGTCATGAAAATTTTGCTAAACAAAGTATTGTTTGGGGAACTTTGACAAATTTTTCTGCTAAGACTTATCTTGAACCTTTTCTTTTTCGGTAGCCGTGAAAACTCTTGATCTGAGAGCTGCTTGAAATGCGCCTCGACGTATATTTCATCATTCATTATAAAGCAATCAAATTTCTGACGCAACCAAAATTTTGATACGCTGTTCCTCTGGCTTCGATGCCATTTTGACAACTGAATGGAAAATGGCAAAAACAAAAAAGAGGCAACATTCCGTACACACAGTCCTCCAAAATGAGGGGTGTTAACAAGGGGTAATTCACTCAGCACATTGTGCCGAAATTAGATTCGGCACAACTTAGGCAGATCCTTCGGCACAATATTGTAAGCATTGGATTGTTGTAAAGAAAATGCGAGCACTGCTGGAGAGCTGTCATTGAAGTTGTTCACAACATTACGTGCTGTTTGACTGTATATTCAGGAACATTCTCTAATTGAATATACTAGAGGACTCAGACCAGTAGATCACTTATAGATCTAAATACGAAATGTAGGTTCTAGGGTGGGCTCAAGAGAAAGAGGCAGTTAATCAGACCCCAATAATACCCTTAGTTTAAATAATACTGCAACTCACACAAAACAAACTTCAGAAGTCTATTTATCATCCTCCATAGTCGGTCGCCAACAATGTTCCCCACCGGTTCCAATTTTTTCCGGCTGCTGATAGACTGTTGCTTTTCACATCACGAAAGGCTAGCTTTCTGGTCTGCCTTTGAGGGCAATATAAAACCCTAAAATACAGGACTTTTATCCTATGATCACAAAACACCGAAATTTCAAACACCCGCCACTGAAGGCGTCATCCTCAATCCGATTTATCCTTGCGATTTCAAACCAAAACATTCAAGGTGTCAGAAATACCGGGTTGGATATTTTACAAACAATCGCAGCTTACTCTATGACCGGCACAATCGGCACATCTGCGGCACACTGACAAAAAAATGACCCAATATTGGTGTGCGGAGTTACCTACCCCTTGGATGCTAAAGTTTTTTAAATGCATGAATTAAAAAAATCCCCAAATTTGAGTCGGCCAATTTTTCCGCGCACAGCTATTTCTGCAATTAAATCATGATTTGTCTTTTTTGATGAATTTGACATGAAAATGGCAGAGAATATTTGTTTTACCTGTTCAACACTTTGTGACTTCAAAATATTAATGTTAAATGCAGAACCAAATTTACAAGGTACCGTGTGCGTGATAATGTTTGCACCATTGAGTAATGTCTAAATTTAAAAAAAAATCAAAAATTTTGTTTTCGAGTTTTTTTATTCATTCAAAGGGGGGATGTTTCTCAGAGTCTTAAACTATGTTAATCATCGATCGAGTTTCCACTTGTTGCAATTGCTGGCCTCCACACGCTTCCGGAATGCACGGCAGGTTCTAATAATGTAGTCTGGATCCATTTCTCTCCAGGTACGAGTCAATGTTTGTCTGAGGCTTGCTGTACTCGGGTAGCGTTTAGAACAGGGCTTGGCCTTCAATACGCGCCATATTGAGTAAGCGTTTTTAGATCGAGGCTGGATGGCGGTCACATATCCTTCGCCCAGAACGGAAGATGTTCCTGCAACCACTTCTGAGTGTGGTTCGAGGTGTGGCACGGAGCCCCATCTTGTTGGAATACAACATTTGGCTTCGGACCGTACTGTTCTTTCATCCACGGAAGAACATACTTACTTAAAATCCCGATGTAGACCTCCGTGTTGACCTTGTCGCCTTCTGGAATGAACACCGGGTTCATTTTTTTGCCATCGGAAGCCACCAATCCAAACACCATAACGCTAGCAGGATGCTTGGTCAGATACACGGTCTTGTGCTCGTTGGCCACGTCTTTTACCGGAAGAGAACTAATATACCGGTCGGTTCTGGAATTTGATACGGGATCGACGGTAATTCTGCTCTCGTCGCTGAACAGGATTACTGGATTTTTTCAAGGAAATTCAAGATTTTCTTGCATCGTTTGACTCGTAGCTCCCGGATGCGGTTGGTAATCATGTGAGTTTTTTTACGTGCCCTCGACTTCGCCCCGAAATCTTCCTTTACGATCTTCCGTGCCGTAAAGTCACTGTTCCCTTGTTCCTTTGCCACTGTGTGCGTTCACTGGATTCATCCGAATCTTCCTTTTGAAAGCAGCAATAACCCTCGGAACCCGAGCTGACCTCGGTAAATATCACGGCCGTCATGTGACGATGAGAAAACAGGCCCTCTCACTATCACGAGACGAAACTACCTATCATTAGCTTTCTTGACATTTTTCAATGATCAAGCACTCATGAAAATAATTCTTATGGGGTTTTGACATCAAAATTTCTAACTGATTTAGATGAATTTAAGCAAACAACCGCATGTAATCGGTAGAGTGTATATATTATTGAGATTACTTCGGTACAAGTAACTTTAATAGCATTAAATGAGCTAGTAATTACGATGATCACAACACTGTCACGTTCTGTCATGACAAAAAATTCGAGAAAATTTTTAAGAAAATCTCTATCATCGTTTTTTCGTCCAATGATAGTGACAGAAGTATCTCTGTAAATATCGAGTGAGATCTTTCATTGAAAATGACATTTTCCAGCCCTGAGTAACAATCTGGGCTTATTGCGTTACGTAATTTGTGTAGCACGCCAACAGCGAATGGCATGCAGTCTGCTTAAAAAAAACAGCAAACAACATCCTTAGCATTCTAGCATACCTAAGCAAACACTCGTAGTTACCACATCGTCGAGTGTATGCACTTTGCCCATGCAACCACATCAACAAGGCAGCAAATATTTGTAGAATTCATTACTGTACTTTCCGCAACCCTCCCACCAAACCAAACACAATTCTAGCCAGAAAGTCAAGTAGAGATTTTGTTTATTCTCGCACATAAACTTTTGTAGTCATATTAAATTAAACCGCCCGTAATTCAGTCTTGCGTTCGTCCTTATGCTACGTGAATCCTTGCACTTTGCAGAACCCAGTAGGTAGGTCCTACCTATCCCCGCTAACCGACAACGCAAACGAAATAGCGTTTTAATGCAGTCAGTGTACGCCACTAGTTTGGGGTTTCGCCCTGCATGAGCGCGCCTTTGTATAGATGTGTTTGGGGAACGCAGAAAGCAAAAAGCTTTTGCCTTTATACCCTCTGGCTCCTGCACGTCTGTCTGCGGTACTTTTCCACGAATGCATTTTCCAACCTTCATCCTAACTCGCACCATATCCTGACCCCCCTGTCACATCGCACCTCACCGTCTTACCAGAAACCAAGAAGGGGAGAACCCGTGGAGTGCAATTAGCGTGTATTGTACATTCAAAACGCGAAAACTCAAAAACGAAGCTTCATTTCGAAACCCAACTGCAAGGAGGGTTGCACCACGATGCAATAATTGTGCACTTGATGGAGCTAACGAAAGAAAATGAAAGAGAAGGATTATTCTCCATCATCCAACCAGACGCAGTAATAAGCCATTAGTCTACGCTGTGGGCGTCTATCAAGCTTAATGCAGTTAGAAAATATGAAAGCCAGCTGGAAAAGCTGACAAGCTTCATGCAAATTACTGGCACACGCTAAAGTGGAATGCATTCAACTTGAAATTGAACCAGAATCTGTGAAGCACAAATCAATAATCAAGCATTTTTCGTTTCCGCTATTTACAGGGACACAACGGTCGCACAACGTAGCTGTCGGTTCTTTTCCGAATCCAATCTAACGCACTACAACATCTACACGAAAGGCATCTGTCTCCAGGAATGCCGTATAAAGATGGCACTTCAGCACTGTGGTTGTATACCGCACTTTTACCCAAATAACAGTAAGTAAATGTCACTGTTTTGTCCAGCGGTAGATCAGGACCCTACACACTTAATCTAGCTCGGCAAAATCTCCAACAGCCGATTACCTCGGTGTAGAGAAAGGATGGAACTGGGTAGTAAAGTGAAAAAGTTTTGAAAAAGATCTTAAAGTGTGAAGTTGAGTGATCACAAAATGCTGCGCAGGGATTACGGTCCTTTTCCAAATGGTGGAAATCACGACACTCGGCATTTACTTTTGCTGATATCTCTGCAAAATATCAATTTGTTAGCTGAGTCTCGGCAATTGCTTGACTGAATCTCAGCAAAATAAATTGCAGAACTGCTCGGCTGTTGGAATCTCGGCGAAAAAATTTAAGTGTGTACACACTTAAAATTTTTCGCCAAGATTCTAACTGCCGAGTAATTCTGCAATTTATTTTGCTGAGATTCAGTCAAAAAATTGCCGAGACTCAGCTAACAAATAAGATTCTGGTGAGATATCAGCTAACAAACAGATATTTTGCAGATATATCAGCAAAAGTAAATGCCGAGGTAATCGGCTGTTGGAGATTTTGCCGAGCTAGACTAAGTGTGTACGTTGTGATTCTTTGACGGTTCGATGGATCTACTCCAAACAGGGTGACGGCGACGGATACTAGACAATCGGGATGAAAGAGGTCGAAGCAAAAGCCCAAGTTAACTGCACTCCAAGAGGCAGCGTGTCTCCTCGGAGATTTGAATTCAACGTTGGATTCTTTCGGTCAGGATTTACCTTGATAAGTGCTCGTTAATGTTCCGAAATTAACACCAATAAGACTTGCAATCTTTGGAATGGCTGTAAGGCAAATTATACGATCCTATCCATTCAGTAATGTAATAGGGCCTGGGATAAAACCCAGGGTCTTTTGCTCAGCAATCAAAAACGGTTGGACTACACAACAAACGTTTTTAGCTATTTAAGTTTACTTTTTGCAGTTTCGTGTTGTAAAACAGCTGTATAAAAGCTATGAATTCAGCTACAAGCTTAAGCTGTCAAAATAGTATGAGTAGCGCCTATTCAGCGTTTGTACAACTATCACAGGCAAACCGACATGAATGACCATAGCAAAAACAATAAAATTTCTGACCAAAGCACACTACTGACATCTGGCTCCGTGTTCGCGGGAAATATTTAGCTAAACCATGAAGTTATGCGAAGTTATGAATTGGTTCGTGTCTGATCTATTCTAGACAAATTATTTTTATCTAGATAAAAAAAATCCTACAGTTCAGATCACTGCACATTTAAATCGGCCGTTTAAGATTTTCGGGCCTAAGTCAGAATTAAGTGTCATGTCGGTTTGTCGGTGCAACTATCATTCAGTTTGTCAGTCAAATTGAATAACAGCAGCTAATGAACGTTTACACTAATGCTATTCAAATGTTTTTCAACATACAATTTATAGCTGCAATTCAATGCTGATAAAAAGTGTATACTCATACTGAGTAATATAAAGAAGAGATGAACTAGCCATATGGCTAAATAGAGATTTTTAAGGCAAAAAAAAATGAGTAATATAAACAACCAAAGCACATTTCCAACTGTTAAATAGTTTGTACTCAGCTAATAAGCTGTTTAATCAATTTTTGGAAGCATTTATGTAAACAACGTGATTTGGATTTCTGATGTTTACTTTAGCAGTGGTTTTATAACTTTTACACTGCGTCTTTCATAAATCTATAAATAGAATAGTCGAGAAAGTGTTACACATGTACTATTATAAAGCCTCTACTCAGCGATCTCGTTCTTGAACAACATATAGATCTATAAATAGAATAGTCGAGAAAGTGTTACACATGTACTATTATAAAGCCTCTACTCAGCGATCTCGTTCTTGAACAACATATAGATATGATTTTTGCTTTACACCCGAATGCAGCCGAAACATCATTGAGTCATCGCATCCATCGCAGTCCACGCATCATTGTAGACGAAGTAGTTTTTCACGTTTAATTGTGTTTGTTTACCAAATTAATTATCCGTCTGTGCCGATTTCAATCACTGAGTGTCGTAGTTGTGTATAAAAGCTGAAGTTTTCGTCGTGAATTTTTGATTAGAAGTGATTTTGGGCTTTTTATGTGCCAACGCAGTGAAGTGTTCTTTGTGTATTGTTTGATTCCTCCGACGCGCCATTCATCTAACCTCCACGTCGATTTTTCCGAGAAAAGCGCCATCTGCCTGAGAGAAGCGGACAATCGTTTTCATAGCAGTATTCATACCCACATACGTACCACTACATCGACTCGTGCAGCCCGTGAAGAATAGCCAAAGGCGTAACACATCATACACCATAGACAAACATAGCTTCAAGTCATGGAGAATTGCAACGTATGCAACAAAACGTTAAGGTCAAGCAAGTTGATAGTTTGCAGTGGATCATGTAACCGGCGATACCATCCAAGCTGTGTAGGAGTGAACAGAAGTCATCTTGCGTCATGGTCTGCTCAAGTGGGACTCCTATGGTTCTGTCAGGCTTGTCGACTGAACTTCGAGCCTGCTGTTTATGACCGTGACAAGATCATCATGAAGGCATTACGTGAGCTTCTCATCAGGATGGATTCGATGGACACAAGACTGGGAAACTATGGAAAGAATCTTCGAACCATTAACGGAATTCTTTTTGACCAGAAGAAAAGAGCATCCAACCTTTCGTTGGATCAAGCCGCCTTTCACAGGACAATCGATCAACTCACACTTGATGATTCGGTTGATCCTCTCGATCGTTCCAGATCATGCGATGATACCTCTTTCTTCGAGGTTCTCGATGATATTAACAGTACCATTCATCAACCATCTGAAGTCCACCGACACCGGTGCCACTGCTAACGCCACTGCTGAATCGAGACCAGTTACATCTGCTAATCCTCCCAATCAAACAACAAACCTGATCAACTCCACTTCAATTACACCTCAGCAACAAACCACTGGGCAACCTGGACCATTATCCGTATCAACCGGTTTCAATTCACTCAAGGTTGCTCGAAAAGAGCCTCAGCTGAAAATTGACGGACACCAAGTTGCATACTACGTGACACCTTTCGCACCAGATCAAACCGAAGTAGCTATTCGGGATCACATCTGTGATATTACCAACGTCGACCCCTCCATGGTGAAAGTAGTAAAGCTAATTCCCAGGGGTAAGGATCAGCGTGACCTAACATTTGTGTCCTTCAAAGCCACTGTACCAAGGAACGCTCAAACCGTCGTTGAGGATACATGGTACTGGCCAGAAGGAGTCGAAATCCGAACCTTCGAATCTCGTGAAAAAAACTACTCGAGCTCACGATCATCAGGAAACACTTGATTGACAAGCAACGTGTTATCGCTGCACACACCTGTACCAATACTTACAAGCTGCTCACATCGGACGTCGTCGTACTCAATGTTCCTGTCAATCCAGTACGCACTGCCTGTCACCTTATGGAAGCCCCTAAGCCTATCGACCCAGTCGCGCTTGCTGGTTCCTGTCATCTTAGCCGTTCTGGACCTGCGGTCGAAAATGGTGATGGGGGCTTCCAACCTCCTTTTTCAGGCAAGTATGTGTTCGATAGAATCATTCCATTGCCTGATGACTTTTCGTGTTCCAGCACAGCATTTCGCCTCTCCGATTTCATCAAAGCTTATCATCACACGAATAAACTCTCCAAACCAGAATGCACGGCCTGTTGCCTAATGGAAGCCCCTGATCCACTCGACTCAGTCGCGCTTGCTGGTTGCTGCCATCGTAGACGTTCTGGCCCTGCAGTTGTGCTTGGTGACGGGGTCTTCCAACCTTCCACTTCAGAAGGATTGCAAGAACACTGCATCTTGCCTTCGCCTGACGATATTGGATGCAGACACGGCGAACCTAGTGAATGTTCTACTCCATGCATCGATGACATCTCTAATGGCCTATCACCGATACCAGAACGCACTGCCTATTGCGTTATGGAAGCCCCTAGCCCTCTTGACCCAGTCGTGCTTGCTGGTTCCAGTCGCCTCAGTCGTTCTGGCCCTGTGGTTGAGAGTGGTGACGGGGTCTTCCAACCTCTTGACACTGGCAAGTATGCGTTTAATAGAACTGTTCCATTGCCTGATGTGCCTGCATGTTCCAGCTCAGTAACTCGCCACTCTGATGATCTCCACCAAAACTTGCGAATCTACTACCAGAACGTGCGTGGACTAAGGACAAAAATTGACGACTTCTACCTGGCTGTTGGCGAAAAAGAATACGATGTCATTGTTTTGACGGAAACGTGGCTTGACGAGTGCATCTTTTCATCGCAGCTATTCGGGAATAATTTTTCTGTCTTTAGAACTGACCGCCAACCACTCAACAGTAAAAAAAAGTCAAGGAGGTGGAGTTCTCATAGCTGTTTCTACACATCTTAGTAGCTGTTTAGATTCATCAACCATTTGCAAATCACTAGAGCAAATTTGGGTGAGAATTGATATGAATGGTTGCATCATCAGCGTCGGAGTTATTTATATTCCACCCGATCGGAAAAACGATCTCAACGATATTCAACTGCACATAGACTCAATTGGTGCGGTCGCCGCTGGTCTAGGAGCTAACGACATGGCTCTTCAGTTTGGCGATTACAATCATTCAGATGTATTTTGGATATCAAATAAAAACGGTTACTCTTCTGTGGACATGGATCGTTCCCGTCCTTCAACCGCCAGCTGCGCATTGGTGGACGGATTCAACTTGCATGGATTATCGCAGCTCAACCAGATTGCAAATTCAAAAGGCCGCATCTTCGATCTAATACTTGCAAATGACATCGCTTTGCCTAATTGTACGGTTTCAGAAGCCATCGACCCACTGACTTCTATTTATTGATATTCATCATCCAGCCATAGAGGTTGCATTATCCCATACGATCCCAGTTTCATACGAAGCGGTGCATGATAACACCAGTTTCAATTTCCGAAAGGCTGATTTTGCTGCGATGAATCAAGCTCTACTTGCTATCGATTGGAGTTACCTTAATTCAT